GTGAGGGACTGCTTTATGTTGCTTATTTCGCTTGTTTCCTAGAAGTGTGGTTCTGAGGCACTCTAACCACAAATGCCTGTAGAGAGCAGACCTAAGTGCAGAGCTGCAACCTCAGGCCCTGAATAAGCCTTGGAGCAAAGGCCATGGAAAAAGCACAAGGGGCGAAGTTACAAAATCTGTAAAACAGGAACAGCTGAACGTCAACTAAACTGAAACTACTTTTACTAAAGTCATAAACTTTTCTATTGATCTTAAAATTTACAAAATGTAAGGAGTCCAGTTTTATGAGTGATCTCTAATATTCACAGATGTGAACAGAGACCAATAAAATGAAGGAAAAAAAATCTAACTGGATCAGGAGAATGGGCCAGGAGATAGCAAAGGTGTGCTATACAGGCAAGTGTAAACTAATCAGTGTGAGAGAAGAGAACAAAATCAGGAACAGAAGCCGAAGGAAAGTCATCCAGCACACTGATAAAAGAAAAGATTTAGAAGTTATTGGTAAAATTATTAACATGTATAACATGCTAATTTGTGTTAGCAAGGAACTGAAATAAAAAATAAGACTGAAGGCTACTGCTATATAACATGAAATGCTTGAATCTTATCTGAATTTTTTTGCAAAGTAAGCTGTCATTCTTTAGAAAGCCCATTATTATTATAAGGCTTCATCTTCTCCACTGAAGTCAAGGTGAGATTTGCTACTGATTTCAACGAGAACACAATCAAGGCCTTAGAGAGGCTGCAGTGTGCAAGGCAACAAGTAAAACAAATGCCAGCTTTCAGAACAGGTGGCTAGAATTACTATTTTTCTCATTGAAAAAGAGATTGATATTAACTACATTTTGAAAAACGGTTGCTTATATTAGCAGGGATGGGAATGGTTTCCTACATGAGCTTCTATATAGGACACAGACACAAGGTGAAAACATAAAGGAGAAACACAAGAAACTTGGCTTGCTCCAGGAGAGTAATAAATTAATTATTATAAGTAAAACAAGAATACCAGTAAGATCAACAAAACCTTCACCTTCAGTCTGGAGAAGGCTGGAGCCTAGATTAGAGAAAAGGGCTCAACTAACAAAAAATTATGTGGGGGAAATGAGGAGGGTTAGAATAAGCATGATTGGGTAAAAATCAGATGGCTTTTTTCTGTTCCTAAAATAGATTATAATTAGTTGCATTTTGTTGGGTTAGACATGATGGAAAAACTTCAGCTGGTTTAAATCAGCATGGCACCACTGATGCACCAATAATTGCACCAATTCATACCACCATAGGATGTGACCCATATAAATCTAGGTTAGTCACTAAAAACAGATCAAAGGCCCACCAAAATTTATAGAGATAAGGCATGAAACTTTCTGAAGGCAGCAAACACACAAGGTGTGATGTGGCTAACATCTTGGCCAGCTGCCTTAGATTTTGTAGCCCAAACAACTGTTTGATTGGTTTGTTGGTTTGACTGGTTGATTGGTTGTGCAGTTTATATGCTGCCCTTCCCAACAAAGGCTCAGGGTGGCTTACAGCAGAATGAGGGAAGCAGAACAACTTAAAAGGGCAACTAGAATAAATAAAACAAAATAAAAGTAAACAAAATAAAGCAGAGACCCACTAAACAATACTCCACCTAATTTTGGTTGTTAAATACCTGCCTGAACAGAAAGGTCTTGTAGTAATTCCAAAAGATGTCCAGGCTTGGGCTTTAGTGAGCCTCAAGACAGATGGTGTTCAGAGCTGAGAGACAGTTTCTGAGACTGGCCTGTATGCTTTCACTAAGAGGACTTGGTGTACTCTTGGTAATTGCGGGATATTGCTCTTGACTGACCCTGGGGATCGCAGTAGGGCATAGAGAGGAAGGCAGACCTTTAGGTATGCAACTCCCAGGCTGTTAGGGCTTTGTAGGTCAAAACTAGCACCCTGAATTGCACCCACAAAGCCCTTGCAGATGATGGAGGACTGGAGTTATGTGCTCCTGGTGACCCAACCCCATCAGAAGGCAGGCCGCTGTGTTTTGCAACAGCTACAGTATCCAATTAGTTTTCCAGGGCAGCCCCACACATAGCACTTTACAATAGTTCAGCCTTGAGATTACAAAGGAATGGATGATGATGGCCAGATTAGAATTTCTAAGAAAGGGTCATGGCCTTCTCATCAGATGGAGTGAAAAGGTCTCTTAGCCAGCGCAGCCACTGCTGCATGAAGATCCAGGTGCAGCAAAGGGACCAGGAGCATTCCAAGGCTACAAACATGAATGACCAAGTTTCAGTTGGTTCACCCACATCCAGTCTTCAACTACAGCCAGGCACTTGGAAAGGACTGAGTCTGCAAGGCCAAGGTCAGAAGAGAAGAGAGGTAGAGCGGGTGTCATCATCACACTGGTGGCATCTAACTCTGAATCACCATACAATATTCCCCAGTGGCCTCACAGACGCATTAAACATAGGTACAGACAAGACGGTGCCCTAAAGGACCCCACAAAAAAGGTTCCAAGGGGATGACGAGTACTTGCCCATCAACACCCTAAGGTACCACTGTGCTAGGAAAGAACAAAACCAATTTAAGAGCTATTCGGCAAATAACCACCAGGTCATGTTAATGCTTGATCAATACTTTGTGGTCAGCTATATCAAAGGCCACAGAAAGATAAAGATCAGCAGGGTACAATTTCCCTTGTCAATCTCCAGGCAAAATTCATTGACCAAAGCCATGAGCACAGTCTAGAGGCAGGTAATTTTTGCCTGCAGAGTTGGTGAAAACTCATTACAGTGGACTGAAAAAGACTTGATTTCTGGGCAGGGACAAGCTGGGTTAACCATGCCTTGGTTCCACTGAATGACATTTGGAAGATGCAATGGCAGTGGAGAAGAAAAGCTTCTTTGCTGCCACCTCTGCCACACCATAGTTTTTGAAAAAAGATCCATACTACAATTGGCTGGCTTTGGCACAGGTTTCATAGATTTCATAGACATTAGAGGCTGGAAAGGACCTCAAGAAATCATCAGGTCCAGCCCCCTGCCATTGACAGGAAGTCAGCTAGGATCAAGTGACCCCAGCAAGAAAAAAATCCAGCTGTTTTTTGAGAGCCACCTGTGCTCCAGCCACCTACTTTCCAGCTGAAGCTGTCTCAGTTCCCTCTTGTACCGGGGGACTGGACACCAGGGTGCCACTGTGTCTATGACCAGGATCAGTGTGCTATACCACAGATCAGCCAGGCCATCAACAGAGTAGACCTCAAGGTCAATGGGATTCCATGAGTCTCTGGGTGCAGAGCAGTCTAACTGGTCCATCACCCCAACAGGGGCAATGGAGAACAGTGATCTGTGCCTCTAGGAGGTAGTGGTCTGATAACTGAAAATGATCAATTTACAGTTGTTGTAACAGAGAGCCTTGGAGGGGGCTCTCTGTTCCTTTAAGGGAAGCAGCAGCCTAGGCAAGGAGCACTGCAAGCCAGGCAGAGCACCAAAGCTGCAGGTCACCAGGACAACAGGCTAATGGAGCAATTAGCAGGCACCTGCCCACAGTCTGCTGACCGGATGTAAGCAGAGCCCTGGGAGCTCATAAACCCAAGGCTGAGGCTGATTCAGGGGGGTTTGTTTTCCTGGCAGCCACAGGGAAAGGAGCTCCTACTCAGGAGAGCCACTCAGGGATAATGGACCAACTGCTTTGCTGCCTACAGAAAGAGAGAGGCTCAGGGAGCTCACAAGAAGCCCAGGGTGCTGTAATAGCGAGTGAAGGCTTACACGCTTAAAAGGACAGTGGGCTGTTATTCCTTTATGGTATGTTATAACCCAGGGGCTTATTTTTATATTGTGTTTAAATTGGAGGTTTGGAATGAGGCTGGAAGGGGAAGTTTGGAGGTGTCATTAGTGTCTGAGAGGCACATAACTGCCTTGAGACCTGCTAGGGGCAGATAGTGCAAGGCATAGAGACAGGGGGCCAGTGGCCCAGTGCCAGAGAAGGTACAGCCACACAGGGGTTTGGGACCCACAAGACAGGGGACAGGGTCCCGGGTGATGGAAGGAACAAACGAGGGCAAGTGCCTCAGATCCAGGTCCAATTCAGTGGGGCCAAGTTAGAAGGCCTAGCTGGATTAAAGCGGAGGAGGCCGAAGCCCCAACAGAGAGAACATCATTCTTGTAACACCTGTGAGGCATGGGATATGGTAAAGGGGGGGATTTGGAGCCACACAGTTAGCCCTTAAGGCTTGGGTGCCCAGCTGGGCACAGTTGACTATGGAGGCCCAGCCAGGGGACCAGGGCAGACCACTAGGGTGCTGGGGACCCTACCAGGGGTTCAGTGAACCAGGGCTACACAAAGGTTTGTGGGAAACCTCCCTATTTATTGTTATTCTATCAAGGCATAGCAGGTAAGATGGGAAGGTGCCCTAGGGGCGGAGCAGGGAATGGCCATGGAGCTACCAGGGAGGGTCACAGCCACCCCTAGGACCTTGATGTGTTACAGTTATGTTTTCAGGGGACAGGACGGGATCATGACTTTGACAATGAGTCTACAGTTAAGTCTGAGACTCATGCCTCTGGAATCATAACAAGCCACCTTAATTGCTTAGGCATTGCGTCACTCTAAGTCTGTTTATGGTGTCATTTAAATTGAATGTACTTACTCAGTATCATTAGAAAGTGTTCAAAGGTGACATTAAACTTCAATCACTTTTCTCACAGGTAATAAGGTGAAGAAAATTACATAAAAATAAGAATACTACCAAGTAATACAGCATTCCCTGTCTGTTTTGTATCAATTTTTCCTGTTTTAACTTCAAAGTACAATAAATTGCACTTTACTAAAATCTCAAAAATTCTAAGGCCTAATCCAATAGTCTTTACTACAGCAGAACTGTGAGGACCTATGACCAAGTTTGGTAGATGTATCTAACAGGCAAGTAATGATTTCAAGAAGTACAGGGTCATGATTCACCTTCTAACTCAGAGGGAAAAGTTAGAGCACAAAACAATGAATGTTTGTAATAAAGGTTAAATGACCTTACAGCACAAATTCTGGCTTTTCTGCAAGCTTCAGAGCCTCATGCATCCCTGCAGCTGACAGTTTCCGGTTGATATTTCTATATCTGCATTGAAGTAGATTGCGATAGGTTGTCCTCAGGTCCCGATTGAAGAAGGCATATATAAAAGGGTTAATAAGAGAATTTGCATAACCCAACCACAGAAATGTTCTCTCAACCCACAGTGGGATGCAGCTGCATGCTGTACCACAGATAAAGGGTCTGGCAGTTGAAAGTATGAAAAATGGAAGCCAGCACACAGTAAATGCCCCCACAATAATTCCAAGAGTAGTGGCAGCCTTCTGTTCCCTTTTGAAGATGGAAATGTTTCTTCTATCGTGTTTAAGGAGTCGTGAAAAATTTGTGCATTCTTCAGATTCCTTGTGTAGTTTTACAACTCCATTCACAGAAATCCCTTCAGTTTCTTCTGGCCGTGGGAAGCCAGCAAACTTGTGTTTAGCAGCACTCTTCTTGGCAGCTTTATAAATCTGATAGTACATGAAAAGCATCACTGACATTGGAATATAAAATGCAACTGCAGTGGAGTAAATTGTATAGCCGAAGTCTTGACTGATTAAACAAACCTTTTCATCATTCACATTTTGGGCCCAACCAAAGAGGGGTGGGATAGTGATAGAGGCAGATAGGAGCCATACGCACAGGATCATTTTAGCCATACACTTCCCATTCTGCCTTACAGGATATGTAAGAGGTCTTGTTATTCCAAGGTACCTAGAACAATAATGCAGAGTTACTACATGATACATTGGTGTATAAGAAAAACTATTTTATACAGTCTGCCATAAAGACATTAAACAAATGTGATATGGTTTATTTTATGTTCTCTCTCCTGTACTTTTCAAACTTCCAGCTAACTGACAATTTAATTTATGATCAATCTTTCTGAAAGCGGAAAACCTCCCATTGACTTCTGTGTGCCCAAGCTTTTTTCCTCAGAGGTAGAATCTCATAAGTGTTAGAAAATATTCTGAAAGTTTAAGTGAAAAATGGTATCTCTTGCATAATTCAGTTTTCTTGGCTAACTTTTGGAATTCAAGTCATGGTCCATGGTTCTCAGTTTACCCAAAGAAACATTAATGCTATAACTGTCCTTAATATTATTATTATTATGTGATCCTTCAAGAGATAATATACAGAAATCTTACAGATCCATGACACTAAAATTGATAAAATAGATTGTGATTTGTTTTTAACTGTTATATTTTAGAAAGGAAAACTCTGAATTTCTGAACCATTCAATTCATAATTTTTTATAGTTACTTCTTTTGAAAGTGATGCCATTTTTTAGCATTAATCAAGCATTTCTTGAACAACATAAATAACATTATACCTTAAGTTTAATATGACCTAAAATATCTAGAACTCACAGAATGTAAGACTTACAAATGACTAAGAAAACAGATTAAAATACTGATAGAAAGGATAGGTTAATGATACAACTTATTAATCAGATGATGTCTACTACCCGATTTCTATAGTATAAATCTGTCCTAAATATAAGAATGAAACATATGCATTTTGCTCAGACTCTGACTGTTCGACATAACTAGATATAAAGAAATATCCTTGTCCCAGGGGGGTCACAAACAGAGATCCCAGAACCCCCTCTCATGGTGGGACCCGAGGCTGGGGTGAGCTCCCAGAAGAACAAAACCAAAAGCCCTAAGGAGGGGACTTACTTACCTTCAACAGGAAAAGCCACACTGTGCCGAGAAGAGCTGCTGGCACGGTTTATCAGCCGCTTTTATTTGCGGCTGGAACCAGCACCGGCAGATGATGTCATCAAAAACCACTGCCCAGTGGATTTAAAAGTTGGTGGCAAGGTAACAGCGGGGGCAGCAGCTAAGCCTGAGACAGGAGACGAAGCTGCTTCCCGGGCTACTGGGTTGCAGAAGCAACAGATCAACAGGGGACTAGATGGGGACTCACCAGCGGGGTCCCGGCTCCCCTGAAGTATAAACGCCTGGCTCAGCAGGGCAGCCAGGCCAAGGAGGATGGCATTGAGGGATCCCAATGACCACAGATGCAGGAGCCATGAGTGGGGCGGGCTGAAGCCTGAACCCCTGCTGTTCCTTTTCTTTTTTCTTTGTTTTTCTGTTTTATGTTAGTACCCTGAAGGGCACCCAGAGCCTGAACTGGGGAAGGCATCCCCAATCGACCCACAGGACCAAGAAGAGGCATGGAGGCAGCCACATCAAACGTGACATCCCAAAGATAAGGCCCGGGTAGACGTTGGGACAAGACTGGTCCCAAAACCATAGACACCTGGGGCAAAGACAAACACCGAGGGTCGGGCAAAAGGGGGCAAGAGCAGGAGTGAACATCAAAGAGACAAGCCGGCGATCTATCACCTGGTCATCCTGAAGGCTGGCATATGGCTGGGGTGTAGGGGAGGTGGAGCCCCAAGAATGCCCGCAAGGGGCAGCGCTCGGTCCGCGAGTTTCCACGAGGGAGAGTCCCACTACTGAAAGGAAGATCAAGTCATGGCAGGCGAGTGTCAGGGCCTCCATCGGGGTTGAACGCAGCCCAACACCCAAGTCTCGGGGATGTGCCTCGAGGCCTGAACTGGGCATGCACGCTAAGGCTTCTAGAGAGTGCCTATACCAAATCATGCAGGTGCAATATTAAGACTTTCTCTCCTTGCTAAAATAAATTAAAATGCTCTAAACTGCATGAATTTTTTAATGTAATAATTTAACTGATTATGGAATTTAATAGATTCCAGTAAACTCATCTTTTAAATTCTTGTTGAGTTCATGTTGTTTTGTTTAGAAATACCTGCACTGGAGAGGTGCCGGACTGGAAGAGGGCCAATGTGGTTCCAATCTTCAAAAAAGGAAGGAAGGAGGACCCGGGAAACTATAGGCCAGTTAGTCGTACCTCGATCCTAGGCAAGCTGTTTGAGAAAATAATTCTGGCTCACATCCAGGAGGGGACAGCAGGGGACTGCATGCTTAGGGGCAATCAGCACGGGTTCATCAGTGGCAGGTCCTGTCAGACCAACCTGGTGGCTTTTTATGATCAGATCACCAGATCATTAGATGCAGGGGTAGCAGTGGACATAGTCTTCCTGGACTTCCGGAAGGCTTTTGACACTGTCTCTCACCCCGTTCTCATTAAGAAAATGGGAGGCTGTGG